AGCATATTTCATAAATTAATTGTATTCTGAAGCACAGTATAAAATAAAATGGATTTGCTCACCAGTTCAGCGTTGAACAGGGTAGGGATCTGTCTCGGCACGTGTAAGAGAAGTCGAACTCTGCAGTGACCAAACCTCTCATCAGAAGAAATAATCAAAAGGCTAGACTCATCTTTGCTGAGGAGCATGTTGTGTGGAGAGAGGAGAACTGCTCCAGAGTTCACGTTAGAGATGAGAGCAAGTTTAATTTATTTGGGTCTGATGGGAAACATTTTGTTCAGCGTGAAACTGGGGAAAGACTGAAGCCCGAGTGCGTAAAGAAGTCAGTGAAAGGTGGAGGTGGCAGTGTCATGGTCATGAGTTGGGTCTCTTACACAGATACATGGCAGGTGAATGCAAATATTCATCAGAAACATGCAGTTCCTTCCCTGCAAGCATCTCCCAATCAGCCTGCGGTTTTCATGCAAGACAAAGCTCCCGTCACACTGCAAAACAGATAAAGCAGTTCCTTGAAGCTGAAAACACTGAAATAATGAAATGGCCGGCCCAGAGTCTCAACAAAGTTCTGGCTGAGAAACCTCCTACAGTTACTGAACTATGGAAGAGAGTGGAAGAAGAGTGGACCGAGATCACAGCAGCGCAGTGAGAAACTAGTGAAGTCCTGCAGATGTGCTGAAGCCACTCAAAAAAAGGTTTGAAGCGATGTGTATGTGAAAAGCACTATACAATTAAACCTAACTTAACTTGATCAGGAATTGAGGAAGGGAGATAAGATCACAACACCAGCTCTGATTTTCTCATTTTCTGACCAATGGCATTCAAAGCCAAACCTTCATGTATTTACATTTTATGTTGATTGTTCATGGAAGTGTGTTTCTGCTACCTTTCAATGTATGGATTTACCAAGTTTATTGAATTGTGCTTATTCTAATTTGATGTTATTGTATGCTTTGTTTCGGACCACACACAAAACACCACTGTACTTGTTTGCACTTATGTGCTCACGCTTTAGTGAAACTTTGATGTGGTGAAAATAAAGCATTTAAGAACTTCCAAGCTGCTTCTCCATGTCTCTAACCAGATAACTGTGGTGAACTAGTCCCCCACTGGCAACCCCAAACCAGTTTTCTTTGAACAGACCCTAAGATATGGAGGAGGTTTTTGGAACAACATCTTGTCCATGACACCAGCATCTGCATGTTTTTCTGGGCAGGTTTGAATCCACAGATAAAAGCACATCCAGACCAGAGACGACTCTCGAGGGACATTCATGGAGTACCTCGACTGGTTCCTGCTTCATTGCGTATCCCCTTGCAATCCGTGAGATAGAGGAGGATCACAACACTCTGCCTGCAGCACAGACTTCCAGTCCATCATCTGCACCTCATCCCTCCACCCCTTCTGCTACGTCAGGCTCCTCCTTCCCTCTGGCTCCACCTTGGTCCTCAGTCGCTCCAGCTCTGCCTCAGTCCTCAGACACCCGGGCTCCATCTTGTCTGCTCTTCGCTGTGACACCGCCCTGCCCTCCAGGACTTTTGGTGTCTCCCAGCCTCTGCAGTTCTTGAGAAAACCAAGAGACAAGGGAGCAGAACTGAGAACATGGATGATACGTCCAACAGTGGATAAACAACAGACAATGAACACTGGGAACACAAGGGTTTATATTCACAGGGGTGAAGAAGACACAGCTGAAAACAAATCAAACTAATCACAGGGGAAACAGGAACCATGAAAAACTAGTTTAACAGAGGTCCTCCTTTAAGGAGCGGATTCTAGATGCTCCACAAAAATGCAAATAGCAATATAAAACAAACAGTCCAGGAGGGTGGTGGAGCAGAAGAAGACAAGGGGGATAGTAGGGATGGTAGGCCTGGAGACCTTGGGGGACCCGGCAGAGCAGAGGATAACCAGGGTGGCACCGGTGGAGCTGAAGAACTCCAGGGAAGCGCAGACAGAGCACATGGAGATGGAGAACACGAGGGTGGTGCCAACGTTGCAGACAAAGCCAGAGATGTAGATGTGACATGGCAATATTGAAATGTCATCTCCTGTTAAGCAAATGTCGGCTGAGACGTGTCCTGACATAACCAAGGACTATGATGGTTTTCTTTTTTTATTATTTTAATGCAGGGGTTCCCAACCACATTCCTGGAGCACCCCCCCCTCAGCACTGCAAGTTTTCCATGTCTCCTTAATCAAACACACCTGATTCAGATCATCAGCTCATTAGTAGAGACTCCCAAGACCTGAAATGGGTGTGTCAGACAAAGGAGAGATGCAAAATGTGCAGTGTTGGGGGGGCTCCAGGAAGTTTTTACGTACCTTGAGGTTCACCTATAATGTTGTGTGACAGATCGGCTGCTTCCCCCCTAATTATCATCATCACCACGCCCCTTAATCACCGCTCTTCACCAGGTTCCCGACAGGAGTGGGTGTGTGAGAGAGGAGGGGCACAGAAACAACCAGGGTTGGCGGTGTGTGATGTGGCACACCTGAATTAAATGAAGCCTTGTCACTACCGCTGTTAAACGGTCTCCTCGAGAGACCCACTTCTTCCCCCGTGCACGCTGGTGTCCTCCTGGGACTCCTCGTGCCACCAGAGATGCGAGCTGCCGGACCGGAATGGAGACACACCTGTGAAGCTGCCGATGGGCTAGGATGCCGGGCCAATAATCCCCTCAAGCGCCTGTGAAGAAGCTGCTGCTCTTTGCACCCTGGAGCGCCACCGGACTCCGCCCCTTACCTGGACTCCTCCTTTCTGAACACTGCCCTTCCTTCACGACTCCCCAGCACATCGAGAACACCAGACCCCTGATTATTTTGGACACTCCTTCCCCTTTGGACAATTTATTATCCGTTTTGGGCTTTTTATGTTTATTTTCTGTTAAATAAAATCCTCTCCAAGGCCTGACGCCACACCCACTGTGTCTGCCGTTTGCTCCTCCCACCACAGTTGGTAAAGGTTTTTAAACAGTTATTTTCTACCTTCATTCTGACCCAGAAACGGGTCTTCAAATTGCAACTGTTTCCAACATTGATAATAAATCAGTATATTAGAATGATTTCTGAAGGATCATGTGACACTAAAGACTGAAGTAATGATGTTGACAATTCAGCTTCGCGTCACTGAAATAAATGAAAATTTTAATTATTACTTAAATTAGTAATACAATTATTATTACATTCTTTTAAATTGTAATAATATTTCACAATATTACAGTTTTTTCTGTAATTTTGTTTAAAGCTGCAGTCCGTAAGTTTTGCCTCTTTGTCGCCATCTTTGTTTGAAAACCTGCAATTGCAGCTGTGTGAGGAATTATCTTCCTTGCGTGGGTTGTGCTCCGGCTCGGCTCCAGCGTGGATGAATCCAATGTTTTGAGGAGTGTGTGTGGCTGTCAGTCACCGCACCGGTGTGGATATTTACTGTACTTCACAATCACAGATTCTAGCCTACGTCTTGGAATATATGACCCAAATATGAATTTTCACCGTATATTGTCATCTGAACAAGTAAGTAACATTAAAAAAAAAGTAACAGAAAAAAACATTACAATAAATCTCGCTACCAATGGTGATTAAATCTAATGATCGATTAGCTCTAATCACATCAATCCGTGCAAATTATTATTTATTCTCAGATTATTAATGTTAACAACATCAGCACTGCGTGACTATGTGTGTATTAGCGTGTCGATTTCAATTTCTGTACAGTTTAATCTAATTGTCATACAATTCGAATTTCATATTAAGAAATTATTTTAACCCAAAAAGCAAATTATGCTTCCTTCGAACTGGTTTTCTTTAAAATACAAATCTTTGTAATCCCAGGCTATCCATAATCAGAAGCACATT